ACATGCCGCCATTTAACGTCTTTGTTCGCAGACAAGTTCATCTTCAAGAGGGGTGGTAGGTTTCCGACACAACAAAATGTTTAAATACATGTGATAACGCTGAATGGTATATTTGTTGAACTCTTTGGACACCGAGCTTCGATGTTGAATGACAGAGGGATACAAGGATTTATACCAAAGAACACACTGGTTAATGTTGAAGGATTGACACACAAGATGACGCTGAAGGGGATATAGTTTGGATTATTTGGACACACAGGTTCATAGTGAAGAACACATAGGTTGGATGATTTTGACACAGGTTGATACTGATGGACATATAGGTTGGATTATCTGGACACAGAAGTTGACACTGATACGTTGGACACACAGAATGATGCTTGAGGACACATAGATAGGATGCCTTGGACACATACGCTGATGCTGAAAGACATAGTTTACATCATTTGGACACAATCTGATGGAGAATACACAGGTTAATTCAGAATGGCACAGAGGTTGGTTCCTTTGGACACATACTTTGGGTTAATTTAGTATTTCATTTCTGAGGTAAGTAATTGTCAATATTCGGATATTATTTTGAACTATTATTCTCATCTTGGTTGATATACATGTTACTGTGGAGTAAGGAATAGCGGCTCGGATTGAGAAATCGGAGAGCCGAGTTCGAATTCCACTCAGATCCATTACATTTACTTACGTGCTAATTATCTTGGGAAAGGCATGAATCCTCTTCTTCTCTCCCCCCCCCACCTGCCCAGTTATGGGTAAATAGCAGGACAGACCGGATTCTATAACGTTGGCAATATAACAACTGGTCTACCGCAGAAAGAATGGCAATTTACTGCGGGGAAAAATCTGCCTTGTTAGTCATGTATCGAAAGATATATGATCCCCTAAGCATGTATCACGCATGGCACATAACTGACATAGACATAACGTTTCGATTACGTACCCTCTGGTCATCATCCGATTTTTAATGATTGGCTAATATGGAATATCTGTTGATTATTATGATATTAGTGATCAGTTCAGTCCTTTGATCTAATAGTGAAGTATCAATTCAGCAGGGACGACCAATTACTGATATCACAGGGATACAATATGAAATATTTTGGGTGTTTGCTGTTAATCAACTGATATTGATAAAATTATCAAAATATTTTGATTTGTGCAATATACTAAGTTAGTTTTTGCTTATGACATCGATCTTTATTGAAAATGATGATCGAAAAAAACATGTTTTATTATTTATAATTCTAAATGTTAGGCGTGTTAACTTACTTCCCCCTATAAAGGACGATAACTCAAAATACAATTGAGTTACGGCCCTTGTCGGTTAGTTGGACCGCGGCACTTCTGAATTCAATATGGTGATAAGCTGACATGCACGTGGAATTCATGCTTTCAATCCAAAAAAATCGTCGCTCTTCCCGGGCAGTAAATGAATAAAAGTTATTTTATTGTGTTAAAATACACTCATCTTTTATTTTTGACGACAAAGATTCGAACTTCAAAATCATGGCAATTTCACCAGAGATGATTACGGAGATTTTACGCTAACAGCAAAACAGTTTCAGAAGTCACGGGTTATTGACAACAATGACTGCACAGTTCCAGAATCAACTCGAAATGTTCCACGCTAGAACAAACCAAAATACCAATTTCTTGAGCAACAACATCACAGAATTCCACTCTGACCCAGCGAGCGGGGAAAAAACCATTCGCTTCGTGGTTTAAACGTCAGATGGATACCTTCACACCGACTTTTCTCACAAAGATGAAAAGTGGAAAATCCGTCTCCTAATTCGTAAACAAGGCACTAAGGAACATCACCGTTATACGAATTATATTTTACCGAAGAAGCCAACGGATTTCACCTTCACTGAAACAGTTGAACATCTCAGTGAAATAGAGAAAAGCATTCTTTGTTTAATATTCGATTCAATTTTTTAAAGCTAACGAAAGATGACGCTGACGATGATGTGACATTTGCTGGGAAATTAAATTCCCTCACAGAGGAACAGTTTAAATGATTTGATTTTTATTGCGGGATTAAAATATTCTACTCGTGCTGATGTTCGCACTCGACATCTTTCAAAACAGGAACAGGACAAAGAAATACGTTCAATGACTTCACTACTGAATGCAATAATTTATTAAGCACAAAAGAGACACTATGCTGATTAAAAAAAAAAACGAAGATTTATCAATAACCAGCAAAATCCACGCGAGAAAACAACCCCTTAATGAAAAGAAACCTCCTTCAAAATGTTGGCATTGTGACGACTGGCATTTTGTCCATTCAAAAAAAATAAGTGCAATATTTGTCACTGAAACGTAACAAAGAAGCACTTTGCAATCCAGATTCACTCAAAAATTCAATCGAAAATTCAACCCGAAAAAAATTAAAAAAACGAAACAGGAAAATATCCGAAAGTAACACAGTGTTTGCGACGTTCAAAGTAGATTACGAATCCCGCAGAAAATATATTGTTGTTTCTATAAATAACAAAACAGTTAGTTTTTAGTTTGATACAGCGTCGGACATAACATTAATATCGCTTTCGAATTAGGAACAAATTGAAAAGTCATGTGCGTCTGAAACCGATCACATAGCAATGAGCGCATCTGGAAGTACAATTCGTTTAACTGGTGAATTAACGATGTTTCCTTTCGAAATAAAACATTTTCTGGTGTCTTATGTCGCAGATAATTCGAAATTAAATTTAATTAGTCTTGAATGGATAGAAAAACTTAACTTTTTTGAAATTCCTCTCAAATCTCCGTTCAATACATTTAACCTCACGTCGATTTCTGATATTGAAAAGCATTTCACGGATGAACTTAAAAATAAGTTTCAGGACATTTTTCAAGATGGACTTGGGTGTTGTACAAGAATTAAAACTACTCTTAAATTAAAACCAGATTCTAAGCCAATTTTAGACAAAAAAAGCCAGTACCCTATGCTACTTTGAGTATGGTTGAAAAAAGAACTGCAACATCTTCAGCAAAAAGGTGTAATAGAACCTGTTAATTACTCCGCGTGGGCAGCTCCTACTGTAGTTGTTAAAAAGGCAAATGGAAAAAAGTTCGGATATGTGCTGATTACTCAACCGGTTTGAATGATTCTTGGGATGCACATCAGTATCCATTTCCAATGGCGAAAGATCTTTTCACAAAATTCAATGGCAGAATCTGCTTTGCAAAGGTTGATCTTTCCGATGCTTTTCTTCAACTGGAAGTTGATATGGAGTCCAAAGAGCTCCTTATTATCAACACCCCCAAGCGAGAATTCAGATTTAACCGTATTAGCTTCGATGTCAAACCAGCACCGGCCATTTTCCAACAAACAATGGACGCCATGCTGACACAGAAATTGCAGCATTCATCGATGAAATCATCGTTGCAGGAATAAATCAAGATGAACTTTTGCAACGTTCGTTTTCTGTTTTCAGACTAATTTAACAATATGGATTCCGTGTTAAAGCTGAAAAGTGTGATTTTTTCCGAGAACAAATAAAATATCTTGGGTTTACAGAAATGGTAGACGACCAAACCCGGAAAAAAACATGCCAGCACCGACAAATGTAATAAAATTACGTTTCTTTTTTTTCTTGGCTTGATTAGCCACGACACTGCTTTTCCGCCTGTATTTCATCGAGTTCGTGCGCCCCTCAACAATCTTTTCAAAAAAGATGTCGCATGGGACTGATCTGACACATGTTAGTTAGTCTTCAAAAAGGTAAAGTCCTTACTTTCTTCTAATCTTTTGTTGACACACTACAACTCATCCATGGATATTTTTGTGGTCTCTGATGCTTCCAATGATGGTATTAGAACTGTCATTTCTCACATTTTCCATGATAGCAGAGAAAAGGCAATAGCTCACACGTCCAGATCACTGAGGCTGGTAGAGTGTAATTATAGCCAAATTGACAAAGAAGCATTAGCAATAGTCTTTGCTATTAAATAGTTCCACAAAATGCTGTAGAGACGTCATTTCACTCAGATCACAGATTACAAGACTCTTGTTAATATTTTTGGATCTAAAAAAAGGCATTCAAGTATATACAGCAAACCATATGCAAAGATGGGATACTATGCTATTAGATTACAACTTTTCTATAAAATACAATTCGACCAATACAACTGGTCAAGCCGATGACTTCACAAAATAAAGTACCAGAAGACTCAGTCATCGCAACAATATCTCTAGAACCAGAAGTCGCTTCAGTGCTTGCATCCACTCTAAGAGCATTACAACTCACTTCTATAATGATACGTGAATTTACAGATTCTGATCCAGTGTTTAATTAAATGAAATGCTTCCATAGTACAAAACGGCCAGAAGTACACACTGACAAAAGAATTCAGCCATTCGATCTTCATTGTCAGAAGTCGACGGCTGCCTTCTTTTTGCACAAAACGTGATTGTCCCATCTTCATTACATAAAAGAGTGATATAGCAATTCCATTATGGTCATCAAAGTATTAACCGTATGAGATCCCTAGCACCCAGCTATATTTATTGGCCAAACATGGACAAGTAGTTGGAGGAATTGATACGCACATGTTCTAATTGCTAACTGGCAGCAAAATCTTCCAGGAAAACTACACTCATTTTCTTGTCCACTAGTTGGACTGCGGCACTTCTGAATTGAAATGGTGACAAGCTGAAACGCACGAGGAAGTCATGGTTTTAATCCAAACAAATCCTTGCTATTCTCTGGCAGTAAAGGAATAAAAGTTATTATTATGTTAACATAAGTTTTTATTTATAAATAAATCCCTCTCCGCAAACAAATCCATAAGCTACCAAAACATATATTTGATTAACTCATTTGCATAAATAGAGGAATAAATTATTATTTTATAATTTAAATTGGAGAAGAGAATTTGTGCGTAAGTAAATATAACGAACCAAACTGGAATTGAAACTCGGCTCTCCGATTAACAATTATGACACATTATTCATTTCACCACCCGCACACCCAAGTTTACAGCACCTGGTATTCCGAAGCGGTCACCCGTCTCGGTCCAGACTAAGTTCGAAATTGCTTAACTTCAGTGATCGTACGGGAACTGGTATTTCAACAACGTGGCCGTAATCCTACCTGATCCATAGATTGAGAATCCTAGATGTTGTAAGCTTGGATGTGCGGGTGGTGCAATGGATAACGGCTCGAAATTGGAAATTGGAGAGACGAGTTCCAGTTCCAGACGGGTTTGTTATATTAACTTACGCACATATAACCTTGGGAAAGGCATGAATCCACCTCTTCTTCCTACATCCAGTTATTGCTTAATTAGTAGGACTTGTATCAGTAAATCATTACTATCTCCCAAAAAAATTCCTACAATCTAAAAATATTTACTGGCTTTAAATAACATGCACATGGTTAATGAGCCGTAAAAAATAAGAAATCAATAAATTCACGTTCTTGGTTTGTTACAAAACTTAACAAAAGTAAAGCAATAAATGCCACAAATTTTAATATCTGGGTGTGTCTCTTTCTTCCTTACCCGCAACAACATCAATGTGTACACGGTTATGACCCACGGATAGCTTTATTTTTTATTTGGTCGTGTTAGCTCGGACATTCATTAGTCTATCACGCTAACCACCACGGTCCTGCACCAGGATCGGAAAGTCATTAGGGAGGAATTCTGTAAAGCGCCTTCTACGTTCGTGTAAGATTTTAGAAATATCAAGGATGAGTCCATAGAGTTGTGATTTAGTTGTTTTGTGATGCCAACGAATACCCATTGTCACTTTCGTAATGCTCGTTGTAGTAGAGCCTTTGTAATCGCAGATACAATTATAGTAATGTCGCTGAACAATACTGGTGTCAGACGCCTTCGAATAGCACTCGCACTAATAGTATGTGCTCGTTAATACTGGCTCGAACAGTAATCCGTATAGGGATCCGAAATAGAGAAATAGTATAATAATACAGTCAGTGGCGTAGCTAGTGGGGGGGCGAGGGGCGGACCGCCCCGGGTGCCAGCACAGGAGGGGTGACACAATGTTACCCCCAACAAAATTTTTCAACCAGGCTAAGGTGCCAAAAATAGTCTGAAAACAGTGGTGGAGACACAGGGTTTCGCAGGCTGGCATATGACCCACCAGAAATAATTTATGACCCCCCAGTTTTGTCCCCACCGTCAGAAATTTTCTAATAAATTGACGGGAAATTTGTGAGTAGGAAAAATAGCAATGTTTTCAGCTTTTGATTTGAACTGATTATTTTGTGGTATCGGATTTTGTCTTGGATCATACATGTAAACAGTAATGTACCGGTCAGTAGAGTAAAGTAGAGGTAGAGCATGTATGAAAATTTAGCTACAGCTAACCATTCAGCATAGGGTGAATCGGGGTCATTGGGGTGACATTTGAGCGGACCGCCCCGGGTGACGTTTACTCTAGCTACGCCACTGAATACAGTAGAGAATAGCGGTTCGTATAGTAATAAAGGATAGAATAGAAATAGCGATCGTTAGTCGTCAGCTACTTCCTACATATATGCGTTTCCTCTATGATCACGTGGTCTAGTTAATTCAATAATGGGATCGCTTGTGTTTGCACACTGGCGATCTATGTTCAAACTCAAGTGTCGGCAGCGACACTTTATTCCTATATAACAAGTTGGTTGATGTCTCACAGAGATGTTAGGTGGTCATTTATGTTCGTGCCATTTTCCTGCACTGGGAAAGCTATAACGTTGGCATATATTCCAAGTGCAGGTATTAGATCCAGTGACAGGACCCAAAGAGTGTGAGTTCAATACCTGGTTAAGGCAGTGGAGAACTTGGAGAGGGGAATTAACAGGAGATAACTGATAACTGACATCCATTAGACATGGCATGTGGAACTAGAACAGTCTACACCAGCGAGCGAAATAAAGGGTTCAGTTCGACATTCCAACCACCTGAAGAAGCCCGGAGCGTACAGCGGCCGAAAAGTTGTGATAAATATGGCAACAAAGATGAGGACAATAATCCGAATAATATAAATAGTGAGATATTTACAGTAAGCCAACTTCATTATTATTATTATTTATTTATTTATTTATTTATTTTCTTGGGTGTCTCCTTTAAATTTCAAACTGGCGATCTTCGTGTCTTCTCGAGAAGCACCAATGACGTAGGTGACATGCAGATATGAAGAAAGAAGATGACGGCCTTATTTAGTTTCCTTAATCTGATCAGACAACTATGACGAATGGGAGGGTTGAGAAAACGATAGTGAGTTCAGCTTTCAACACTCGTCAGCGCTGTTGTCATCATTAACTGTTGTCTCCTAATCATGGTTGTTCTTCAGGTTCGAAGAAGACTTTGTTTTACAAATTAACCAGTGCATCCAGAAATAACTCCACAAAACAAATCTGGGCGCGCAGAGTCTAGAGCAGTGGGAAGACTGGATGTCGGTGGTTGTGACCAACGCCAAAATTGCAAGGTGGCGCTGTTCTCTTTGAATAGTGTCTTTTTTCTTTTCTTTTTTTACGCCGGGATTTTTGGAGGCTTGCGGATGTTTGGTAGACAATGGCACACCAATGCGATCGGCCGGCAGAACACTCCTCTCGTCTGTTCTTGCACCAGTGGAGGTTAGTTTTGATTGCGTCTTTGTGTCGTTTCTTTGGACGGCCTTAATGCCGTCTGCCACATCGCAGCTTTCCGTACAACAGGCGTCTGGGAATGCGATGTTGCAACACGCGGATGACGTAACCAGTCCATCGTTTATTAATCAATGACACCATCATGACAGTCTCGTCCGTAAGTATTTCTTTGCTGACTACAGTTCCTGCAATCCTAAGAAAAAGAAATCGTAGGATATTGTTCATCAAAGTTTCTGTCATACCATAACAAGAGCAAAACGATATGCCAATGTTTCATTTCTGATACAACATTAATGTGACATGTCCTGTGAGCGATCATGGCACTCCACAACTTCCTATCGATTGTAGCTCTTACTACTACTCTCAGTGCTTTTTCTGTAATCCAGATATACAGAATTGTTAGGTAGCTTGCTCTCTGTTTCCCCTCTTCCATTCTTGCCATCACTGTGCCCTATGAGTGTCAAATTTTCCAATGCGTCTTTCCTCATTGTGTCATCAGCACAGATAGCGAGTGGAAAAATGATGAAACAAATTAGGTCGAAGGAGAGAGCCATGGGGGAGACACACGCATTAATGTGGAAACATCGAGAAGAGTGGCAGTTCAAGACAATTTTCATTTCCCGATTTGATAAGAAAGATATAATAAAATCAAAAATTCGGCTAGAAACACCATAAATCTTTAGCTCGTGAACAAAACCACCATGTCAAACTCTATCAAAGGCCTTCGAGATATGTAAGGCACGTACCAGAGCATTATCATTCCTATATAATGCTTGACACTTTCACCAATAACTGGTAACAAACCGGCAGTTGAAATAGAGAAATAAAAGCCATCTTTTTTTTTTTTTTTTTTTTTTTAAAGAAGACTCAGCAAAGTGAATGCTTAAGCAAGTTTAGACTTTATTACATCCTCTAGTACTTTGTCAAAAAGTTTGGTTGGTTGATTTCGTTCATGGGTCATTTAATGCCGAAATCTAGATATTTTGAACGCAATTGCGTGCCTTCAACTACAGACAAAGTGTATCATTGGTCCTTTTGCTATAAAATGTAGTGTTGGTCATTCGACTATAAATAGTATTTTTTCTTTTGTTTGGTGGTTCACTATTTAACAATAGCTGGGACTCAGAGTGGATCTCGTAACAACAGAAATTAAGAGGTGGTTCCATACTCTTCAAAACCTCCAATCCTCCGATCAGAGGTCTTGCTGCTGCTGGATGTAGTTTGTCATCATACCCAGGATTTTTTCAAAAAAGAGGTAGAAGACTAATAGGTTAATAGTTCGAATGAAGAGACTGTTCGCCCGACTCCCTAAAAGCAGGAGCTACAGAAGAGGGTTTCCAATAAGCTGAATAGCATGAAATATCCACGGTTTATCGTAGAACTTTATAGGGGACAGGACATGTGCTGTGTTTTTGCTCGACTATTTACATATACAGGTCAGTGATGCATTGTGGGTAATCTATTGTATTATCCTAACGGTTATTTATGTTTCGAATTATTCTAGGGGTTATTGAGTGGGAATAATTGTGGATCCAAATGCAGTTTTTTTTTCTATTCTATTTGTTAACTTTTGATTATTTATTGTTAGTTTTTATTGACCCATAAATATACCATACCATAAAACTATATTTTATCATATTGCATACACACACACACACACACACATATACATACATATATATATATATATATAATAAAACAGTTCGTTAACATTTTTAAATATTTAAATGTTGCCTCGTTATAACGTTTTTGAGGAGAGTACACATTTATTTGGCATCAATAATAACTGTTAAATATATTTATGAATGTGAGAACTTAAAAAAAAAAATCAATAGATTTATCTATCCCTGGTAATCCGTGTCTCTGCGAAATTTGAAGTCAAATCTTTAGAACTTTCCTTTTTTAACACTATATATATATATATATATATTGTCATCTACAGACAGACTGTTTCGCTGTATCACAACTCTTCAGTGTCTGATTACTACAAGACGGGATCGAAACCCGACCGATTTGGTATCAGTCAGAGATTTTACCCCTAGGCTATTGTCACACAGCAGAGTGAAAGGGAAATTTTAACGTTTTCTATGCGAAATACATCAGTGGCCCCGGAGAGCTCAATTCAATTCTGTTGAAAATTAATTTTTATATATATATATATATATATATATATATATATATATATATATATATATATATATATATATATATATATATATATATATATATATATATATATATATATATATATATAGTGTGAGTTGGGGAAGAGGGAGAAATGATTATTATTACATTATAAAACATCTTTGATAATTTTGATAGCAATTCTGAACGTCTTAATAAAATAAATTCTGATTTTGAAAGATAAGCTAACGTCACGAGGAAAAGATTTTAGTTAAATATAGTAGCATTAATCAGTTCATCTTCCTTCTACATTTGCAATTAATGATTTTAACGAACGCAAAAACAATTTTTTATTCTCTC